GCGGCTCGGCGGCTCCGCTGCTGGGCGGCTCGGCTGCTGGGCGGCTCGGCTGCTGGGCGGCGCGGCTGCTGGGCGGCTCGGCTGCTGGGCGGCTCGGCTGCTGGGCGGCTCGGTTGCTGGGCGGCTCGGCTGCTCTGCTGCCGGGCGGCTCGGTTGTGCTGCTGAAGGGCGGCACGGCGGTCAGCTGCTCGGCCGGGTGAGACGGCTCGGGCGGCTAGGGTGGCGGGCAGCGCTGCAGCAGGTAACGGGGCCGAGAGCGAGGTGGCGGGGCCGCAGGTAGGGTGGCGGGGCCGCTGAGTGAGGCGGCGGGGCCGCTGGTAGGGTGGCGGGGCCGCTGAGTGAGGCGGCGGGGCCGCTAGGTAGGGCGGCGGGGCCGCAGGTAGGGTAGGGCGGCGACGGGCCGGGCGGCGACGGGCCGGGACAGGCGGCGCACGGGCCGGGCGGCGACGGGCCGAGACAGGCGGCGCACGGGCCGCGACGGGCGGCGACGGGCCGGGACAAGCGGCGCACGGGCCGCGTCGGGCGGCGACGGGCCGGGACGAGCGGCGCACGGGCCGCGTCGCACGGGACGGGCGGCACACGGGGCCGGGACGGGCGTCGACGGGCGGCGCACGTGGCCGGGACGGGCGTCGAAAGGGCGGCGGGCGGGCCGCGTAGGGTGGCGACGGGCCGCTAAGAGCGGCGACGGCCGAGCAAGGGCGGCTCGAGGGAGGCCGCGACGGTAGAGAGAGGACCCGAGGCGCGACTCAGGCCTAAGCGGAGCGCGCTTCGGGCAGGAAAAAAAAAAATCGATGGTGGGCCCTAGGATCAGTTCCCACTAGGGAACCTGCTCGATACCATGAGGAGAAACGAGAATGGATGAACTATGAATGAAGTGGGTACAAAAACTAACCCTAATTGGGTTGTACCCCCTATGGGATACCCCACTACAGCCTACACAAAAGTATAAGCTATAATGTTCTGACACAACTGACTCGATATTGAGCAGTTGCCCGAGTCGCACTGTATCGAACCGCAACAGAAAAACAGTTATCACTCGTATCTCTTCATATTCCTTGTACTATTATATAAAGCTTTGTACTTGTTTGCTTTAATCAACTTACTTTGCCGTCTCATACCAGCGCAAGGTGGTTCAGAATCTTATCATTAAACGCTTCCGCTATTACATCACTTTACCTAGAGTTTCATCCTACCAAAGATCCTAAGGGGCACCCAGCCCAACAACCTTTTTGTTTGGAACAGTGTTGTATCAGCCGAACTCATCGCAGCGATTTCAAGGTGGGACGGCCTTCACTATTTTACATTTAGGTTTAAATAAACCTGGGGCTAGATATGAGAGAAATCTGGAAGTTAGGAGCTGGGATATACTTTCCCAATTGCACATGGCTTTTGCCATCACTGACATGACCTCTCGATTGAATGAACCACCCGCCTAACCACATGGTCAGGTAAGGGTTTTTGTTGGATGCAATCCAGGCCTAGCCAATCCGACAAGGTTTCAGGACAACACATGGATGTTTGGGGTGGATGAACGACGTTCTTCTGCCAGCGCATCAGCGGTGGATGCGGAGGCCGTCATTAGGGGCAGGCAGGAAAATTGACAACTCCCATCCGTCTGCCCCCAACTGTACTGGCACTCATGCCCTTCACTGCGCTACCACCACACCGCACCACCTTTGTTGTGCTCGATGAAGTTGGGGGGGCAGCCCGAGGATGGTGTGACGTTTAGTTGGGTGGTTTGTGTTTAGCGGGGTGGGGGGAACAGAGTGTAGGCTGTGGTGGCTTCAGGTGGTAGGATTCCGGGCCGGAAAGAAACACAGGTAGGGTAGGGGGAGTGAGGGACAAACAACCACCTTCCTTACCCCGATGACCTCATCCATGCCGAACCAGCGGCTTCTGGTTCGGTTGGGGGAAACTGAAACCAGCGCAGCGCACACGTTTAGTCTTGCGGGCGTCGCCGCCAATTTCAACTTCTGTACATTACAGTTGAAAACCTTTTTGTATCCCCTATCAGCAGCGGCGATGTAACTTATCGGAGCGAGTCTGACTCTGACCATACATGAGGCGTGTGCTGCATCCATGCCACGTCAGGGGATGCCATGATCCCACGCGTTTGTGGTCCCTTTTCAGCTTCTCCAGGAGTCCTGCCTGCCCACCGGATACTTGACGGATCACGGATTCACGGATGAGATCTTCTCCTCCTCCCTCCCTTCATTCCCTCACTACTCCTCCTTTGCTTTTCTCCCTCCTTACCCTTTTCTTCCCTTCTCATGGTTCCCTCCCCCCTCTTTTCCCTCATTCCCCCGAAAATCTTCCTCAGAGCGAATTCCTACGCAGGGACACCATCCGAAGTTGCGATACCTTGGCGGGTTGCTTATTTGTTTACGATTGAAGATCTAATGATCAAGTAACCTCGTACTTTGACAGGCTTGATAGAATCTCAAACCCAAGCCTGCGCATAGGCAAGCTAGTCTCGATATGTTTGGTCATCTGTGCTTTAAACAACTGACTGACATGTGTTGCGTGGAGTGTACTGAGATGGAAGAGCATTTCGAGTGTATTTCTAAGCAGTGAAATTTTCGTAGCGTGGTTTTCTGGGTCAGTTTGCTTCGGGGGAGTAGGCGTGCAGCATAAAGAAAACGTTCAACATGTCCAGAGTTCGGATGGTGTCCGTGCCCTGAAATTCGCCCTCACTGCAAAACACAACTGAACCCTGCAACCCTAGGGTTAGATCCACTGACGTGTGCAATGACACGTTTACACTCTGAAGACTACCGTCATCCCTAGTTTCTGGCTGGAGTCTAGCGTTAGCTTTTGCGTTTATCATTACACTCAGTTCGACAACAGACTCTCTGTAAAGAGCACCGTCATCCATAGTTTCCGGCTGGAGCCGTTTTTTGTGAGGGAATTGTGTGTGTTTCTTTTTTACGCAGACGACAACAGACCACCGAGGATTACATGAGCTTGGATTTAATAAAATACAGCATATTATCCGACGAGGGGTCTAGTCTTATCGGCAATGGAAACCATTTGCGATTTTTGCGAAAAAGGCCGAGCCACGGTCTATTGTAAAGCGGATTCCGCTAGGCTCTGCCTCTCATGCGACCGAGTAGTTCATTCTGCCAATAATCTCTCCCTTCGCCACCATCGCACGCTGCTTTGCGACGGATGCAACGCGGAGCCAGCCTCCGTGCGATGCCGGGACGAAAACCTTTCTCTCTGCCCGGACTGTGACCTCGCGTCTCACAACGCAAATCCGTCCGGCGCGAACCACAGCCGTCACGTGTTTGAATGTTTCACGGGCTGCCCGTCTGCATCGGACCTGGCGAAATTATGGGGTTGCGACATGGCTCAACCACCTCCGCTCCTCCAAGTGCAAAAAGCCCAGCCAGCCTCCTCCACTTCCACAGCCGGTGGTGGCGCCTTAACTTCCGCTCACGGCTTTATCGCCGCGCCGGATCCTGACACCTCTACTCAGCCGGCAGAATTTCAGACACCCAGGCCGGCCCCTCAGACGTCACGGCCGGCCGTACTATTACCTCCTGTGTCGACGAATAAAGTCGCGTCTGGGGCTCCTTTATTACCGTTCTCTAGCGATGTCATTCCCGCGGAGGCGATTCCGCCGTTACGTGCGAGTCAGGGGAATCTTGGGACGAACCCGAGTTCAAGAATATCCCCTAGCCCGGGGGTAATTTCGAAATTCGGACCCCAGAGTGGTTCTCGAGATGGAGAATCTCCGAATTCAGACATTGTCACCCCATCAATTGGTACCGCAGTGATTGGTACCGCAGGAAGGGCAAGCGCAGGAAGTTGGGGTGCACCGTTAGCCGCTAATCGGACGGCGCCGTCAGCCGCCGTCAGCTTACCGGCCGACAGGCGCGCAGTGCCTCCGAGCTCGAACGTGGCCGTCAAGAGCGGCGACGCGCAGGTGAGAAGAGGATTCTGCTGGCCAGTAAAGCGGTGAAGAGGTTAAGCGCTTAAGTGGTCGGTTAAGCTCTCATGTGACATGTGTTGCTTTTGAGACGTTAAAAAAGTAGTTGCGTGTTTTGCGAGGGGAACTCTGCTGTTGCTCTCGCCGCTTCGCCACGCGTGTTTCGTTAGTTCCCTTCTGTCCCCCCCTCATCCCCTCCCCCACCGCCTCCTCCCCGACGCTCGCTGTCTCCCAGGCGTTGAAAGCAGCAGCTCCTCTGAAAGTCCCTCCTCATCCCCTCCCTCGTCGTTTCCCCCCCACGCTTGTGGTCCTCCAGGGATTAAGAGCAGCGGTTGCTTGGAACAGCCAGCACCCGGCGGCGTCTCCCGTGCTCGCCGCAACTACCGGTATCCCCTTACGACCGCAGTCGGCTGCTCCCCAGTCACCGGAGCAGCTATTCAGCCAAGGCCCAGGTCCAGGGCCAGGTCCGGGGTCACGTCCAGGGCCAGGTTTGGTGTCAGGTTCGGGGCGATGCTCGGATCCAGGTTTGTTGCGAGGTGCGGTTGGGGGTGTGAGTCAAGGCGGCGTGAGACCTGATATATCGACCAGCTCGCTGCAGACAATATCGAGGATCATGGCTCTGTACCCGTTAGAGTCTTCCAAGCAGAAGCAGCAGCTGCAACAGCAGCAGCAGCAGCAGCAGCAGCAGCAGCAGCAGCAGCAGATGCAGATGGAGCAGCTACAGCGGCAACATATGCAGGCTCTTGTTCAACAGCAGCTGCTGCAGCGGCAGAAGCAACAGTCACAGCAGCGGCAGCAGCAGCAGCAACAGGATCAACAGCAGGTGATGCAGCAATATCAGCAGGATGTAAAGCAGAGGCAAGAAGAGGAACAGCATCTGGCTCTTGTGGATCGGAGACGGCAGATGCTTCAACACGAACAGCATCAACGGCTGTTGCAGCAGCACCATCAACAGCACCATCAGCTGCAGCAGCATCAACAGCAACAGCAACAGCAACAGCAGCACCTGCTGCAACTGAAACGGGCAAACTCAACTGCAAGCAGGGAAACCATGGAGTGGCACGACGCCATGGCAGGGCATGCCATGCGATCCAGCCCCCGCAACGCTCTCCTTTCCAACACCCGTATTCCTCCCACCTCCCCCACCCTACCCGCTTCCGCGATGACTGCTCCTATTCCTGCTCACCCTGCTGCCACTCCCGGCCCTCCTGCCAACTCTGCCGCCACTGCCCCCTCCCCTGCCCCCTCTGCCTCGGCTTTGGCGCCAGTTAACTCTGCGCCAACCGCCCCTGCTGCGTCACTGCCAGCAGGGTCGGTAGGCAGGCAGTTCACCCGATCGTACTCTCTCCACACGGACGCTCAGTCCCCGGTGTTCCCACGTGGGGTTAGAACCCCCACCCGCAGCAACACGAATCACACCGGCGCTGCTTCTTCTGGTGCTGTCGCTGCTGCTGCTGCTCTCTCCGACCGCGACCTGAATTTTCACCTGAGCCAGCTGGCTAATCGGAGGATCGCGCAGGAGATCGCGCAGTCCAGGCGGTCAGGGGGAGGAGCAGCCGGCGATGCAGGAGGAACGAGCAACGCAGGGGGCGTTGGCCGAGGGGTTGCAGGCTCACCCATGGTTCTGGAGGCGTCGCAGAAAGGCAGCCGAGGGGGGATGACCGCGGGGGGGATGGGCAGAGTGGGGGGAACCAGGGTAGGGATGAAGCGGAGCTTTGGATTAGAATCAGCCGATGCTCCCATGGCAACCTCGAGACTGGAGGCTGGTGGTAGGAGTCGGAGCGCGGCTGGTGGTGGCAGGAGTCAGAGCACGGCTGCTGCTGGTGAGCTTTGCGATGGCAGCGGCGGGTACGAGGTGGGGACTCCCTCTCGCGCTGCTGTTCGTGGCATAGCTGGGGAGAATATTCCTGGAAAGCGGCATGCGGGGCTGTCGAATGCCAGACAGGAGTCGCTTTGCGAGGCAGCAGCAGCTCGTCCTGGGGAGGGTCTTGGGGGGGTTGGAGGCTCAGGGCGTACAGGAGTAATGGCTTGTTCTGACAATGATCAAAACACACGCGCTGTAGGAGGTGGTGTGGGGTCGACAGGTGAGATGGCGCAGACAGGAGAATGCGGAGGTGTGGCAGCAGGAGGCGGGTGGGTTCAGCAGCAGCAGGAGACGAAGCAGGAGTTGCTGCAGGAGGTGCGACACGAGCTGCAGGTGCAGCGAATACAGTTGACGCGCGAGCACATGCAGCAGCTGAGCCAGGAGCACCAGATGCAGCCGTTGAGTCAACGGCCACTAATGCAGCAACTGAGTCATCGCCAGCAGGCACAGTGTGAGGCGCAGGGGGGGCGAGCACAGGAGCCGCAGGTGCCTGCACCTGTGACTGGCGGAAACGCCATTGGGAACACCGCAGTGTCAGGGGGGCAGGAGGCTGCAAAGGGCCAGGAGGCCCATTCCAGTCAGGCAGGAAACTTTGCAGGAGGCCTGTTTGCTCGGAGCACGGGAGCATGCGAAGCGACTACAGCTGTGGGAAGAGGAGAGGTGGATGTTGCAGGAATGTCCGCTGCCGGCTCTGCAGCAGCAGCAGCAGCAGCAGCAGCAGGGCGAGCAGCAGCAGCAGCAGCAGCAGCAGGGGAAGTGGAAGCAGTGGGTTCTGGTCCGTATGACGTGGCAGTGGCATCGAGCACATTGGTGGATGCGAACGATGACCCATTGGACCAATCCGTGCATGGCAACTGCATGCTTCAAGCCCATGTGATGGGTGAAGGCCATGCACATGGCATGGACGATTCACACAGTCAAGATATGGCGACGCTGATGGATGCCGACATGGGCATGGGCATGGGGATGGGCATGGGCATGGGCATGGGGTTCCACATGGAGGACATGGATTTCCCCATGCCGCTTCCCGGCTGTGATGACATGTTTTCACTCCCTGATTCCGACTTTGGACGAGTCTTCTGTGCTGCATCTGGTGCCGGGGCTTACGCTACTGGGGCGTATGATACTGCTGCTGGGGCTGGAGCAGGGGCTGGGGCTGGGGCTGGGGCTGGGGCTGGGGTTGGGGTTGGGGTTGGGGCCGGGGCTTTCACTGCTGCGGGTGCGTTTGCGGGGTCCACTGGCTGCGGCAGTGCGGCAGCTGATGCCTGAGGAGCAAGGACGCGTTTTGTTGCTCACTTCCCCTTCCAATTGTATTTGCACGATTTTCTTTACACCACCTGTTTCCTCCACTCTGTCCCCTCTTTCACCTCCTGTTCTTCCGCCTCAGCCTCTCTTTCGGCCACCACCTCTCTGCAATAGCGCTAGACCCCTTCTCTCTCCTTCCATGCTGTTCTTGATTCGTTTCAAGTTCGTTCTGTTGTTCGGTGTTAGACATGGAGGCTAACTCTACCGTTTTTCTGGCTCCACTGGTGTTCCTGCTTGTTCTATGGACACAGCGCACCATCAGTGTGTAGCATTGCATTTTCCGTGTGACTGTTTCAGTCATGTGCACTGCACTCGGCTGATTCTGTTGCATGAGACATCTGATTTTTATTTTTGTGTTGAGCCACATGAGGTTTGCCCTATATGAGGCATAGGAACACGCCCTTACATACGGGCATGAGGCATCTATGTCATTTAAGCATCTTCATTATTGTAGCTACGTGGTATCTGTAGGATGAATTTAACAGAACAATTGAGCATCTGTAATGAGTTTTGTTTTGCGTGATTTCGTACTACCGTCATCGCTCGGATATAAGACATATGGGTCTTGTCCGATATCGCCTTGAAAAAATGATGTTTATCTTATAAACAGGAATCTTTATGCTTCATGATTTTAGGGTAGATCTGGCTGTGAGGTGTTACAAGTGAGCAAATGATGTTACTTGGGCGACTGTTTCGACATCCACCCACGCTTCACATCACGACCTGACCACTCATCATTAAAAGGGTGGCAACGTTACCCAGCAAAGCAGCAAGTTGGCAGCGTAGCAGAAAGTTGGCAGCTTCAGGAAAGGTGCGCGCCTATGCATGGTGGCAGTACCTGTCCTTTCCTGTTAGAGGAATTTCATTGCAGAGGAAAACTGAGACCCTGTGTGGGGGGGTCTACCCGTTGGCGTGCTCATTCTTGTCGTGCCTTTCGAAAAAACTCCTCTCCCCTGTGCTCGGCTAGCTCCTCGTCCCTCTCCTCGTTCTGCGCCTTAGGCATGCCTCACGATGCGGAGTAAGACGGCGGGCGTCGCTTTAGATGCGCCCGGCACAGTTTACGTCGACAATAACGGGAGAATTAACTCACCAGGCGACAACATCCAGATCTGCTGTGCTTCACCGTCCGCGGGGAAAAAGCGTGCCGCGTTGAACAATGCAGCCCCCGTAAAGAGCTGCGTCGAGTCAGTCCCGGAGGTGAGCGACGGCCACGACGAAGAAGAATGGCCTGGAAACGGTCACTATGGCGATGGTGAGACGCGCGCTACACCTGATTCGGATGTCGAGGAGGACGAATGGTGGCTGAAAGACTACGGGGATGAGGAGGTGGAAGTGTGGCGTGCAGGAGATGATGAGGAAGGAGATGCGCAAGCTGGAGATGGTCGTGCTGGAGATGGTGACGCGGACGTGACCACTGCTGTGGGAGTGTGGCGTGCAGGAGTTGATGAGGAAGGAGATGCGGAAGCTGGAGGTGGCCATGTTGGAGAAGTTGAACCATCTGCTGCTGCAGCTCCTGAAGGCAAGGGAGAAGATGGTGATGCCGCTGCGGACAAGGGTGATGAAGACGAGCCAGGGAAGATGGACGTAGACGACGTCCCGCTGTTTCGGCGTATTGTGAAGCACCGGGTTGACCACGCCGCCTGGAAAGAAACTGGTCATTTCACGGCAGCGGAGAAGGGCAAGCAGAAGGTCGATGAAGGTCCCTCACGGAAGCGTCTCACTGCGGCGGAGAAGGGCAAGCAGAAGAAGAAGCGGGCACCAAAGAAGAAGGCACCAGCTGCTGAACCTGCTGAACCTTCTGATAATTCAGATGACGACTACGCTGAAGCTGCAGGACCGATTCCGACATACCCTGAGAAGCAGAAACCTAGGGATCCCACGAAGAGGAACCTGGATGCAAGGCCGCCGTCCCCTCGCAACCGCAAAGAGAAGCGCAGTCGGAGGGGCTGGACCGTGAAGGAGAAGCTGAAATGGTGTAAGCGCTATGCTGAGCTTGGATCTTTGAAGAAGATGGCCGTAGAGTCCGGTGCTTCAGTTGCATCTATTCGGCGGTGGGTTGGGCAGAGGGTTGCTGGAGTCTACAAGGGCGGAGCCACCAGCAGGAAACGAATGCATGGTGCCGGGCGTCACCCGCACTACCCCGATATGGAGAAGGCACTCTAGCGCCACATTGGTATGCATTGGGCGAAAGGCGTGCCCATCTTCGTGTCGGACACGCAGAAGTGGAGTAGGGCATGGATGAAGAAGCACCACAAGGGGAAGGAGTGGGCCGCCAATTCTCATTGGAGCCAGCGTTTTCGCGACCGCTGGAATATCGTCATGCGCGTTCGCACGAAGGTCGGCCAAATGTTAAGCAATGGTAAGTTTCGTGTTGAATCTCATGCAAATTCCCTCTTTGCACATCAGTGTATCCTCTCATGCTTGCACCCACCGTAAATTCCAGCCGTGAATCTCATGCATAAAGCCTTTCTTCTCTTCTCTGATGCTCTCTTTCCCGTCTCTTCTCTATCCGTTCTCTCTCCTTGACGTGCATGCAGAGTGTGCAAAGGACTGTCAAGGGTTCTCGAGGTTCGTGTGCATCAACCGCGCGCGGCATGCCATCAACATGGACCGCATCATCAACGCAGATCAGACTCCATTGTTCGTGGAGATGCCCGCCGAGCGCACGCTAGAGCACAGGGCGGCGCGGTCAGTGCCTATCCGTACAGCCGGATACGAGAAGCAGCGCCTGACCGTGATGCTTGCATGCACGGCCAGTGGGAAAAAGCTGCGACCGTGGGTGTGGTTCAAGATGAAGAATCCTCCGAAGTGCGACAAGCCACAAGGTGAGTTATGTGCTTGAATTTGTGCGAGTCTTTATGGATCTAAGCGAATCTTTAACAATCTGTGCAAATCTGTGAGTGACTGTGTAGTGCATGCCCGGTCTGATGTCAAATGATCCGGTGTGCATCTCCCGTCTTGGTACATTGTGCCTGGCAGGTGTGGTGGTGAAAGCCCAAGAGAATGGGTGGATGGATGAGGAAGCAGTTGGTGCTTGGCTCAGAGGCGAGATCCTCCCTCACCTCAACCCTGTCAAAGGTGCGGCAGCCAAACGATCCATGCTGGTGCTCGAATCCTACCGCGGGCACATAATCCCTGGAAGGCTTGCCGCCTACCGCACACGCTCCATCACGCCGGCCATCATCCCAGCAGGATGCACCAGCCAAATCCAGCCACTGGACGTGTCCATCAATCAGTGTTTCAAGGCGGGAGTGCGCACGCGTTACTGCTGGTGGTTTGTGCGGCGCGGCATCAACCTCCAAACCCCCAAAGGTGAGCCAGCCCGCTCGTATCAAATGACAAATGTGTGTGTGCGAATGTTTGTAGTCATAATACCGTAGTGCTATTCGGTCTGACACATGAGTGTCTGTGTGTGCTTGCTCCCTGGATTGTAATGGCAGGGAACCTCAGGTGGCCACCCCATGATGTGGTGTTGAGGTGGATTGATGAATCGTGGGAGGATGTGCCATTGGAGGTCATCGTGAAGGCCTTCAAAACATGCGGAATCTCCAGCTCCCTCGACGGCAAGGAGAATCACCTTGTTCTCGCCCATCTGCGTGCAAGGAGCATCACAGATGTGTCTGAGGACATGTCGCTGGCAGGAACGAGCGGAGACAACACGGGCTTCATGGGCAAAGCCCCTGACAGAGAGGGGAGGGAGGGGGAGGGTGACGAGGAGGAGGACGAGGATGAGGAGGAGTTGGCTGAACATGCAGCCCCTGTGGAGGAAGACCCCTACCCCGACACTGTGGCATACCGTGGGGCCGCGGCTTTGGTGGACAAGCTCGTGGCCCCTACTGGTCTTGACGAACTGCGTATGCAGGATCTGAGGATTGATGAGGAGGATGATGCACCATCCGAGGACCCTTGTCCTGAGGGTGATAGGGTCACTGAAGTAGAGGTTGGTTGAAGTGGTCTCTAGAAGGTTCTGAACTGGCAAAGACTCTTAATCAGTATGGTACAGAGAATGAATTTGTTGCGCCGTTTAAAGGACAACCCATAACGGTCAGAGGGTCTCTAATAATAGGAACTTTCGCTTATAAGAAAACACCCGTATTAAAAACACCCATGTCTACTATTCAACACTATCTTCTATCCGGGCGATGTCGGTACCAGTTTGTTAGCAAATCATGGTTTCTATAGAAGCCGTCAAAACATACAAATAACAACTTCTTGTAGACTAATCTTCTCAAGAAAATATGCCACTCGTAATCAACAAGGGTCTCGATAATATGTTTGGTAAAAAATGTTACGAATAGTGATTATTGAAACATCGCTGTGCACTCCTCACCGCAGCAAGCGAAGCACGCACTACCGAGGATGAACTCGAAAGGGCGGAAGCAATATGAAAGGTCACGCGGTTACGTAAGCATCCGGACCATCGGGCTGACAGCATCAGTGGCAAGGATTCTGCGCGAACAGTTTCATAACCACCTGGAGTCACACGGTTGGATTTCGCTGTAATAAGGGAATGTACCCCTTAGAGTACATTGTCAGAATATTATGTTTCTCTAGTCTGCAGTGGGGTACTCTATAGTGAGTACAACCCTTTAGGGTTTGCTATATGTATCCCAATGTTTGCTAGTGAACGTCTCTCTTCTCTCATTTCTCATTCTCGTTTCTTCATATGGTATCAGAGCATCTACGCTCCTGGCCTGTGGTCCCACCTAGCTGCTTCCGCTGCTACTTTGTGTTCGGCACGCCCCGTGGCGTGCCCCTCGTGCTACTCTTAGCGGCCCCTTCGCGGCCTCGTCGCCGCCCTTCCTGGCCCCTCTCGGCCCCTTCGCGGCCCCGTCGCCGCCCCTTTCGCGGCCTGTCGCCGCCCTTCCAGGCCCCTCACGGCCCCTTCGCGGCCCCGCCGCCGCCCCGATCGGCCCCGTCGACGCCGCCAGCGGCCCCGTCGTCGGCCCTAGCGGCCCCGTCGCCGCTCCTATCGGCCCCGTCGCAGCCGCCAGCGGCCCCGTCGCTGCCGCCAGCGGCCTCGTCGCCGACCCTAGCGGCCCCGTCGCCACTCCTATCGGCCCCGTCGCCGCCGCCAGCGGCCCCGTCGTCGCCGCTAGCGGCCCCGTCGTCGCCGCCAGCGGCCCCGTCGCCGCCACTTGCGGCCCCGGCCCCGCCCCGGCCATGCCCCGTCGCCAGCCGCGGCGCACCAGGGGCACGTGCACCGCCCCCCCCCCCCCCCCCCCCCCCCCCCCCCTTTTCCCGTCGCCTGTCGAGGCGACCTGAGGGGGCCGCGTGCAGGGGCGACCTGGGGGGGGGGGGGGGGCGAGCGTCGCCCCTTCTGCCGCCTGCTTTGGCGCCCAGGGAGGCCGCGCGTCGGTCCCCCCCCCCCCCCCCCCCCCCCCCTTCCCCCCCCCCCCCCCCGTAACCTCCCTACCCGCCATCCCGCCCTGCCCTGTGTTCGGGTTTGGGGGTGGCGAGTGGGGGGTGGCGGGTGTGTGGTCTCCCCTGCTCCTCCTCCTCTGTCTCCCACTGCTGCAGCTGCCGTTGAGGGGGGTGGGTGTGTGGGAGTCGGCAGAGTGGTGCCAGGGGGTGGGGTGTGAGTGAACCTAGGGGTGCAGTAGGGGGTGTGTGAAATGGGGGTGGGATAGTTTGGGGAGGTTGAAGTGGGTGGCCGCCGTGAAGCCAGCAGCTCCAGTCGCCCGTGAGACCGTTGCGCCAGTCGCCCGTGAGCCCGTTGCGCCAGTCGCGCGGGAGCCCGTTGCTCCAGTTGCCCGTGAGTCCGTTGCTCGTCTGCCGCTACTTTTAGCCGCGGAGCCAGTTACTCCAGTAGCCCGTGTGCCAGTTGCTCCAGTTGCCAGTGTGCCATTTGCTCCAGTTGCCCGTGTGCCACTTGCTCTAGTTGCGCCGTGTGCCAGCAGCTTCAGCTGCCGCCCACAACCTCCTCTCCTCTCATAGTCCCTCCTCCTCCACACTTGCCCTCTGCGATAGCCTCTAGCTTTGCTTACATTTGTGAACTTTAAACTGTTGCTTCTTGTACTTGTGCTCAGAATGTGTGGTGACATTGTGATCCACCCTGAGCTTGTTCTGCTTTGCTTGCTGTGATGATTACACCCCACTTTGACTATGGGGGTGTGTCAGAATATTATATTTCTCTATTCTGCAGTGGGGTACTCTATAGTGAGTACAACCCTTTAGGGTTTGCTATATGTATCCCAATGTTTGCTAGTGAACGTCTCTCTTCTCTCATTTCTCATTCTCGTTTCTTCTCATACATGGCTAGCTAAGTCAATTCACATGATGAGAAACAAGGGATGAATGAACTAGCACAAGGTTGAGTACAAGTAGGAAACCCTAGGAAACTGTACCCTATAGTGTCTACCCCACTATAGCCTAGACAAGCAATATGATATAATTTTGACACACCCCCATAAGCAAAGTGGGGGAGAACAAGAGGTCACAAGACCAGTCAAGCAAAGCAAAGCAAAGCAAGCTCAGGGTGGATCACAACGTCACCACACAATCCGAGCACAAGAGAAAGGCCACAAGGCCAGTTCACATGCAAGATCATATATAAACATAGACAGGCGAGTGCAGGTATAAAAAGATCACAGTACAAGCAAGGTCAAGAAGTGAGCAAGTGAGGCCAAGTAGGCACAAGACCTAGCATAGTACAGAAGCGCTGATGATCACCAGGCGGAAGTGCCTTGGTAAAGATATCAGCAGTGTTGGCCTCAGAGGCCACGTAAGCAAGGCGCAGCAGACCACGCTGCTGCAGCTCACGAGCAAGGAAGTAGCGAAGAGCAATGTGCTTCGTTCTGTGCTCCAGTCTGTGCTCCCGACACAAGCCCAGCATGGCCTTGTTGTCTACGTACAGAACTGGAGGAGAACGAGGCGGCTCTCCTAGGTCAGTCAGCAGGTAGGTGAGCCAGCGTAGCTCCTGTGCAGCCATGGCCCCCGCGTAGATCTCAACCTCACAGCTGGAGCCGAGAACAGAAGAAGAGCGGGTAGACCGCCACGAAACGAAGCCGTAGCCAAGGCTGAAGGTGTAACCCTGTGAGGACCGCTGTGTAGCCTTGTCGTCAGCCCAAGAAGCGTCTGCGTGACCTGTGAGGACCACTCGACGTCGCCCTCCAAGCACTAGCCCCAAGCCCGACGTACTGCACAAGTAGCGCAACACCCTCTTTACTACAGCCATGTGCTCTGGTCGATGTCTCCCAGGAGCAACATAGCGTGCCAAGATGCTAAGAGGGTATGCAAGGTCAGGTCGTGTGTAGGTCATCAGGTATATGAGGCAGCCAACAAGCTCTGGGTACGGGGCTCGGCTCTACGGACTCATCCGAGGGCCGAGCTGAGAGAGAGTGGCGAGTAGACAGAGGAGTGGCCTGAGGCGAGGAGTACGTGAAGTCGAAGCGCTGAAGGACCTGCTGCACCATGTGTGACTGAGTCAGGGTAATGGTGCGCTGTGCTCTGTCCCGGATGATCTGTAAGCCAAGGTAGCTGCGCAGTTCACCCAGGTCTGTGCACGTGTGTCTCTTCTGCAGCTCGGACTTCACGTGGGCGAGTCCAGCAGTGTCAGTAGTGGCAAAGACCAAGTCGTCGACGTATACGAGGATGTAGAACGGCGGCAAAGAGGTGTCGGTGCGCAGAAACAGCGACGGGTCGGCTCTAGAAGGAGCAAACCCAAGAGCCGCAAGTGTAGCCCTCAGTGTGTCGTGCCACTCACGGGGCGCCTGGCGGAGACCGTAGACTGGCCGCCGGAGGCTCCACTGGGTACCAGGAGGAAACGACCCAGTGAAGCCAGGTGGGCGGCGCAGCCATATCTCCTCGTGTAGGCAACCCTGCAGGAAAGCTGTGCTGAAGTCAAGAGAGTGAAGCTTGTAGTCGCGCTGAGCGGCTATGTGCAGCAGCACCCGAAGAGTGGTCATCTTCGGGGTGGGAGAGAAGGTCTGAAAGAAGTCAACTCCCTGCCGCTGACTGAAGCCTCGAGCCACGTAACGTGCCTTGAAGACAGGCGGAGAACCCGGCTGCCGCTTCACCCTGAATATCCACATGCCACTGACGATGTTCGCCCCAGGTGGGGGAACCTCGTCGACGTAGGTGCCTGTGGACTTCAAAGAAGCCATATCTGCGTCCATGGCTGACTGCCACTGAGAGGAGTAGGGACCCTCGATCGCCTTAGCGTACGATCGAGGAGTCGGGATGTCTGGTGCATTCGGGTCTCCCTCAGGGGCAATCAGCGTGGACACGAGATGAGGCAAAGCAGCAGCAAAATACTGGAACTCCTCCCGCCTGTCCTCAAGGACGTCCGTGCTAAGAGCACACTCACCCCCAACGGACGGAGGACAGACAGACTCAGACTCAGCAACAAGACTAGTAGGGTAGTCTAGACAACAGCGAGCAGCAAAGTCAACAAACTCAGCAACTAGGGCCGACGCAGCAGTGGACTCAAAGGAAGGGTCAGTGACAGCACTGGCCAGGAGACGCGTGATAGTAGGACTGGCAGCACGAAGAGAGTCAGTCTCCTAGTCAGCAAGAACAGGAAGAGAGGACTCTGGAGGAGACGGCAACGGGACACGCAGAGGAGCAGTGGAAGGACGCAGTGCCATCTGGTGTGTGCCAGGGACCGCAGGAGGACGCGGACGCGGAGCACGACCACTAGTGCGAGAAGCACGAACAGGCGACGCAGGACGAGACGCAGGCTTAAGACGCTCAGCAAGACCTGCTGTAGGACCAGTGTAGGGAGAAGGAGCAGGTAGGGGGGAGGCAGGCTGTAATTGTGACTGCGACATGACAGGCAGTGGACACTCTAAGGGAGGAGCACGACCAGTAGAGGGCGGTAGACAAAGAACCTGCTCAAGGAGCGGAACGAAGTACGGCCGCGGCCGCGCAGCGCCTCCAGAACCAGCAGGGATAGCACCAGTACTCCCAGCGGCAGCACCAGCGCCAGTAGCACCTCCAGCTCCAACA